ATATCATCGTGTTTTCTCAACAAATTATTAGGGAAAATCAGTTGAAAAACATGTAATAATAATTATAAACAGCTGAATAAAAAATGGGTAATGAAAAAGAAAGTAATTTCTATATTATTCCTTTGCTTAGAGATTATTTCGATTTTAAATATATGGGCATTTGTATGGTACTTATAATGGCATATGTATGGCACTTATAACGGTAAATGTATGGTACTTATAATAGCATATGTATGGTACGTATATGGTGTATGTACGGTACATATAATGGCATATGTATGGTACTTATAAAGATGTAAGTACGGTACTTTTAAACATATACGTATGGTACTTATATGGATATATGTATGGTACTTATATGGGTATATGTATGGTACTTATATGGGTATATGTATGGTACTTAAATTGACGTATGCATGGCACTTATAAGAACATGTAAGGTACATTTCAAGACATGTATGATACTTTTAAAGACATACGTTTGATATGTATAGCGGCATATGTATGGTACTTATAAAGGCATATGTATGATACTTATAAATGCATATGTATGGTACTTATAACGGCACATGGAATATACTTATATGGGCATATATATGGTAATTACACGAGCATATGAATGGTACTTATAAGGCCATGTAAAAGGTACATATATTGGCATGTGTATGGTACTTATATATATGGTACTTATATGGGCATGAATGGTACTTATAAAGGCATATGTATGGTATTTATAAAGGCATATGTATGTATGTAACGGCACATGGATTATCCTTATATGGGCATATATATGGTAATTATACGAGCCATATGTATGGTACTTATAAAGCCATGTAAAAGGTACATATATTGGCATGTGTATGGTACTTATATGGGCATGTGTATGGGCTTACTTATGGGCATACGTATGGTACTTATATGGTCCTCCTAATGTTTCCCAACGTCAAGAAAACGGTAAATTGTAAGTGTCCTATCCTAACCTACCAGAGGACCAAACTCAGAAAACGGGACAGTACGTCACTTTGGCGAGCAGCTTACATTTTCTGCCACACAGCCCTTTGCCAGGAAAGAATCGCAGCCCGGGCGAAATCGTCATTTTTCTCAAAACTCAAAATCAAAACCAGCCATAGAATCGTTTTGAAAATGGTACCATTGTGTTTACCACAGCAATTTACATTTCTTTCTGTAAAGGCTTTCTTTGCTAATTTTCAATATCAAGGCCCAAACACCCATATTTACCGAGATACAGCCATCTCAAATATCAGATATATCATCGTGTTTTCTCAACAAATTATTAGGGAAAATGAGTTGAAAAACATGTAATAATAATTATAAACAGCTGAATAAAAAATGGGTAATGAAAAATAAAGTAATTTCTTTATTATTCCTTTGCTTAGAGATTATTTCGAATGGTACTTATATGGGCATATGTATGTTGCTTATATGGCATATGTATGGTGCTTATAATGGCATATGTGTGGTACTTATAATAGGAAATATATGGTACTTATAATAGCAAATGTATGGTACTTATAAAGTCATCAGTATGGTTCTTATAAAGACATATGTATGATAATTGTAATGGCATATGTATGGTACTTATAATGACATGTATAGTACTTATGAAGACATATGATGGTGCTTATAAAGATATATGTATGGTACATATAAAGACATGAAAAGTACTGGACCCCATACCCCACCCTGTGGGTGGTATAATGGACCCCATACCCATCCTGTGGGTGGTATAGTGGACCCCATACCCATCCTGTGGGTGGTATAGTGGACCCCATACCCATCCTGTGGGTGGTAGTAGACCCCATACCCATTCTGCGAGTAGTAGTGAACCCCATACTCACCCTGTGGGTGGTAGTGGACTCCATACTCACCCTGTGGGTGGTAGTGGACTCCATACTCACCCTGTGGGTGGTAGTGGACTCCATACTCACCCTGTGGGTGGTAGTGGACCCCATACTCACCCTCTGGGTGGTAGTGGACTCCATACTCACCCTGTGGGTGGTAGTGGACCCCATAGCAATTCTGTGAGAAGTAGTGGACCCCATACCCATCCTGTGGGTTGTAGTGGACCCCATACCCATTCTGTGAGTGGTAGTGGACCCCATACGCACCCTGTGGGTGGTAGTGGACCCCATACCCAACCTGTGGGTGGTAGTGGACCTCATACCCATTCTGTGAGTAGTAGTGGATCTCATACTCACCCTGTGGGTGGTAGTGGACCCCATACCTTTCCTGTGAGTAGTAGTGGACCCCATACCCATCCTGTGTGTGGTAGTGGACCCCATACCCATCCTGTGGGTGGTAGTGGACCCCATACCTTTCCTGTGAGTAGTAGTGGACCCCATACCCATCCTGTGTGTGGTAGTGGACCCCATACCCAACCTGTGGGTGGTAGTGGACCCCATACCTTTCCCGTGAGTAGTAGTGGACCCCATACCTATCCTGTGTGTGGTAGTGGACCCCATACCCAACCTGTGGGTGGTAGTGGACCCCATACCTTTCCTGTGAGTAGTAGTGGACCCCATACCCATCCTGTGTGTGGTAGTGTGGTAGTGGACCCCATACCCAACCTGTGGGTGGTAGTGGACCCCATACCTTTCCTGTGAGTAGTAGTGGACCCCATACCCATCCTGTGTGTGGTAGTGGACCCCATACCCAACCTGTGGGTGGTAGTGGACCCCATACCTTTCCTGTGAGTAGTAGTGGACCCCATACCCATCCTGTGTGTGGTAGTGGACCTCATAGCTGCTTCTCTGTGTGCTCTTCTGAGGTACTCAAGTGATTATGGAATCACTTATGGTGTTAGAAGCATCACAGTAACAATAATAATAATTATTAGTCTGATAGTTCTAGCACCATAAGCAATTTCACGTTCTAATGGTTCTAGCACCGTTACAGACTCTATAGCCTGATGATTTTAGCACTATCAGAATTAGTTTAGTTAACGATACCCTCATCGATATTTAGTTATCCCTGAATGAGTCGTTTTCTTTAATATGTTAGATTTTAGAGAAAACGAATAATATTTGGGAGACTTGTGTAAATCTTCAGCTAGACGAAACACTTAATTAACTTCCTCTCTTATTATTCTAGAACCATCAGACTCTGTAATCACAGATGGTTAGAATAAGATTATGGAATCGCATACAGTGTTAGAACCTTCAGAGTATGGAATCACTGATTGTTATAAAACCATCAGTTGATGTAATCTTTTATGGTGAGAGAACCATCAGACTATGGAATTATTTATAGTTGAACTATTTGACTATAGAATAGCTTATATTGTTAGAACCATCAGACAATATAATCTGTTATGGTGCTAGAACCGCCAGACTATGGAATTCTTTATCGTGCTACAAACATTGGACTATAGAACCTGTTATTGTGCTAGAACTATCAGACTATGGAATAGCATATAATGCTAGAACCATATGACTATAGAACCGCATATGGTTCCACAACTCTCCGTTACAAAAATGAGTATTATATACCCAGGAAAAAAAGAGAGTTATCGTGCATGCAAATTACGAGGGAATATATTAGTGAACCCCTCAGACAGCCTGAGGGAAAATTAATGAATCAATGAACAATTTAGTATAAAAAAAATGCATTGAAAGTCAATTTAATGCCTCTATGCGTACTAGTGGCTTTAGGTATTGTATGTACTATCTCTATCATTAAATCCATCATTGTGCATGTAACTCAATGGATGTACCTTTACCTGAATACAAAATCTAAATCTAAAATTTAAATCTATAAGGCAGGTCACAGAGCCAGCCAGCCGGCCTCCAGGACCTTGGTGATCTAGGCTTGAGCGACCAGGGAATCATCACCTCACCGAATTCATCATTTTCCGCAAAACTCAAAATCAAAACCATAGAATCGTTTTGAAAATGCGACCAATGGATTGCATATTGCATTTCTTTGCTTAACTCTTTCTTTGCTAATCTAATCTTTGATCATTTCTTTACTAATAATCTACTTCATTAACTCCGTACCAGATCTTCCTGCTTCATCAATATTCAGGTCTTTAAAGCCATATTTACCTCGATACAGCCAACTTAAATATTAAAAAATCATCATGTTCGCTCAACATGGTATTAAGAGAAATGAGTTGATGAGCAAGTAATAATAATTATAGTGAGCGTAATAAGAAATGGATATTAAAATATATTCGTATTTTTTTCCCTATTTGTCCGGATATATTTTTGTTTATTTCTTTAAGCTGTTGGAAGATTACTATCCAAGCCTATCCAATCACTATGTAGATACTCTTTTGTCTGCAATGTCATCAGGATGTTGGATAACTACTGAACAGAGACCTTCCTGAATCAGGATGTTGGATATCTACTGGAGAGAGAGAGAGGGAGAGAGAGAGAGACAGAGAGAGAGAGGGAGAGGGAGATATATATCTGCCTGTATAAGGATGTTGAATATCTGCTGGAGAGAGAGATCTGCCTGCATTATCAGAAGCATATAGGATATGTAAGCATGCGAGCTATCCTACCTTATCAGGATGTAGTATACCCGCGGAGATGGGTACAGAGGAATAATTAGCCAGTGTATCGTCAGGACACATGATTCCCACTGAGGCTACACATAACTGAATTGTCAAGAGAATGTAGATATCCATAGATTGGTGATCTTCTCTGCAGTGTAGGATATCAACTGCTGTGCAATATGCCGTTATTCACGTCAGGATGTAGGATATCCAAAGACACGAGTGCAGGATATCAGTTCTTCCTCTTGTATTACCAGTATGAATGACATTCCAGAACATATCCTTCCTGTTATCAATAAGATAATCGATATCCCAAGATCTCCTTTGTGATCTGTTTCATCAACTCTGTACCAGACCTGCTTCATCAACTGGATGAACCCAACACCAAACTTGCTGGTTGGTCAGTAAGGTGTTGTGGTGGTCTTAATAACCCTCCAGAGGTTGACAGGTCTTAAGCCCAACACCAAACCAATACTAAAAATGCAAATCAATATGTATATTTAAGCTATAGCAATACAGGAATGGTATATGTACACATACATTATAATGAAATTTAAATAATTCCTTGACGAATATGGAGTTTTGAGTCCTGAAGGATGATTCTAGCTACTTCGAGTCCTTAGGAACCATAAGGATATGGCTATCAAACAGGGAATCCACCCCCCATGCCTCGCTGATGTCCAGAGTCTTCAAGACCAGCATGTCCCTGGATGATCCTGTGGGTTGGGATTTGGGGTATGCAATTAGTACTGTGATTTAATAATTTGTAAAAATCCTTTGAAATGTAATTTATTAATGGTGATTAGATGTATTAAAGTTCCCAAATGGTAAAGGAAATTGTAATTGGGGGCTTAATAACATTCTTAAATACTGAACTTACTAAGAAATCAATGTAATTATATTTTTTTATAAATATTATTAGTTTATTATTATTTTTGTAAATATAAGTTGGTCATATCAACACGGACATATTAAACCAACTATGTGTACAAGAAAATGTAGCTATTACTTGGTACAAAATTACAGCAATAAATACAACAACTAACAGATGAGTAAAGGAAACTAGCACTGTTTACAGTCATTCAAGGCTAAGTGTAATGTGATTACAAGAAAGTAAGTAATTATCAAAAGAAGCCACCAAACAGGGAAGGCTGTGTAGCACCATCAAATGTGCGGAATAATCAGAGGGCGCTGATTATCACCAAGGATGACAATACAAGAACAAAAACGCATAAGGCGAACGATATCAAAAGTATCCGATTCACCAAGAATTCTATTGAGGGACAAGCGACCGCGGGGGACGGTCGAAAAACAAGACACACGCTCGTCCCGGAAGTCAGGACATTCAACAGGGATATACACGACCGTAAGTAAGTAATTATCAAAAGAAGGCACCAAACCGGGAAGGCTATGTAGCACCATCAAATACGCAAAATAATCAGAGGGCGCTAAATATCACCAAGGATGCCAATACGAGAACAAAAACGCATAAGGCGAACGATATCAAAAGTATCCGAGTCACCAAGAATTCTATCCAGGGACAGGCGACCGCGAGGGGCGGTCGGAAAGCAAGACACACGCTCGTCCTGGAAGTCAGGACATTCAAGAAGGACATGCACGACCGTAAGAGGGACAATGCAATTTGGACAATAAGGAGCAGGGCGGCACTCCATTAAGTGACCATGAGTTAAGCGAGTATGGCCAATATGCAACCTCGCCAGAGCCGTTTCCCATCGCCGGTTACAGTGGTAGGAGGACGGCCATAAGGACACAACTCTTAAGAGTATGCAGTTTGTTACTAGTAACAGAAGACTAACAAGCCAGCCAACAGATAAGGATGGAGGAATGAATAACTGGGTAAAAATCGGAATAAGGAATACTTTTACGAGAGATGGGGCTAGAGCATACAGCTTCCCTAGCAGCAGCATCCGCACACTCATTTAAAGAGACACCAATATGGCTGGAAACCCTGCAAACTCAACTGACTTACCCTGCAAAGGGTAAGATCGTCGACATAGAGAGAGAAGACGCCAGAAGGAAGTGAGGAAAGAAGACCTTAGAGGGCAATTAGAAAAAGAATAGTGCTCAGAACACTACCTTGGGACACACCTTCATATTGCTGGAAAGAGGCAGAGAGAGCGGTACCAAGCCTCACCCGAAAGGAACGACGAGAGAGGAAGCTTTGGAGAAAGTGAAGGAGATTACCACGAAGGCCAAAAGAATGAAGTTGGGACAGAATATGATATCGCTAAGTGGTGTCGTAAGCCTTTTCCAGGTCAAAATGGACGACAATAACGGAGGTCTTCGCAGCAAAAGCATTATGAATATAGACCTCTAAGTTCCCCAGGACACCTGTTGTGCTGCAGCACTTGAGGAAACCAAATTGAGAAGGGGAGAGGTGGTGATAGTGTTCTAAGAACCACATCAGACGAACGTTAACCATACGTTCAAAGAGTTTGCAGACACAACTCGTGAGGGCAATAGGGCGAAAGTCCTTAGGGGAAGTTTCCAGAGACCCTGGTTTTCGAACAGGGAGGACAACGGCATCGAGCGAGTCCTCAGGGACTGACGACGACTCCCAGATCCGATTATACAGGCTCAATAAATACTGAGACGTGCACGGAAGGAGATGGCGAAGCATCTCATAATGAATGCCATCGGAGCCTGCTGCCGTAGAACTGCAGAGGGCCAGGGCACCTTACCTTGAGGTTACCTTGAGGTGCTTCTGGGGCTTAGCGTCCCTGCGGCCCGGTCGTCGACCAGGCCTCCTGGTTGCTGGACTGATCAACCAGGCTGTTGGACGCGGCTGCTCGCAGCCTGACGTATGAGTCACAGCCTGGTTGATCAGGTATCCTTTGGAGGTGCTTATCCAGTTCTCTCTTGAACACTGTGAGGGGATTGCCAGTTATGCCCCTTATGTGTAGCGGAAACGTGTTGAACAGTCTCGGGCCTCTGATGTTGATAGAGTTCTTTCTCAGAGTACCTGTTGCACCTCCGCTTTTCAACGGGGGTATTCTGCACATCCTGCCATGTCTTCTGGTCTCATGTGATGTTATTTCTGTGTGCAGGTTTGGGATCAGCCCCTCTAATATTTTCCATGTGTAAATTATTATGTATCTCTCCCGCCTGCGCTCAAGGGAGTACATATTTAGGCTCTTTAGTCGGTCCCAATAGTTTAGGTGTTTTACTGAGTGGATTCTAGCAGTAAAGGATCTCTTCACGCTCTCCAGGTCAGCAATTTCTCCAGCTTTGAAAGGGGCTGTCATTGTGCAGCAGTAGTCCACTCTAGAGAGCACAAGCGTTTTGAAGTGTCATCATCGGTATAGCATCTCTAGTGTGAAAAGTTCTTGTTATCCAACCTGTTATTTTTCTTGCAGTTGTGACGGATACTTTATTGTGTTCTTTAAAGGTAAGGTCTTCCGACATGAGTACACCCAGATCCTTTACATTGCCTTTACGTTCTATGTTATGATTTGCCCGAGTTTTGTACGTGGTTTCCGTTTTTATATTTTCATTTTTTCCATAGCGCATGAGCTGGAACTTATCTTCGTTAAACACCATATTATTTTCTGTAGCCCATAGAAAGACCTGATCTACATCTGATTGGAGGTTTGCCGTGTCCTTCTACTCTCATGAAGATAGACTCAGAGGTGGGGGGGGGGGGGCCAAGGAAAAAAGCGAAGCCTTCTTTCCCGACGGGGAGGAGGAAGGAGACGAGCCAGGCTTACGGTCCTGACTCAAAGAGACAGGTGTTCCAGCACCAACATACTGGGCAACAGGCTCAAGCGTCTCAACAGGAGAAGAACAACGAAAGCAAACAACACGATGATCGCTAGGAGAGTGATGGACACCAGCCCGCACAGACAGGCGGCATGGAGAGCTAAGAGATGGAGGAGAAAGATGGGAAGGAGGATCGGAGGGAGATGAGAAAGAAGATACAGGAGACATGGGTAGATTGGGTAGAAAGAAGGGGGAACCCCACACAGAGAGCCAGAAGGGGGACCCTTTTGGACAGAACGTAAAAGAACTGGGGAGGAGGTAGTGGGCGTATCTGGGTCTAAGGCCTGGAAATGGTTGCGAGACTGAGGAAGGTGGGAAGGACGAGGAGAGGAAGAGCGCAACACTCGAGCATAAGAGACGCCAGTGAAAGGGGGGAGACGGCGGACTTGGCGCCTCGCCTCAGTAAAAGACAACGTTCCCGGTTCTTCAAGTTGAGGATGGCTGCCTCAAGTTTGTAATGTATACACGCGGGGGGGAGAAGGTAGGGTGGGCCTCACCGCAATAGAGGCAGCAAGCCTGGGGAGAAGAGCCCTCCAACTTAGAGTGACCTTCGTCCCCACACAAGGGACAGAGTACTGGAGCATCAGAGGGCACCATGCCCAAACCTCCAGCACTTATTACAGAGCCGAGGAGAGGGAATGTACTCCTGAACGGAGCACCTGCCACCAGCAGAAATGACAGGGCAGAAGGGTCCGACCATAAAAGGTAATTTTCACAACCCGTAGGGGCTGACGACGATGATCACGACGGGTACGAATAAACGTGTCCACCTGGAGGACAGAATGGCCCTGGGCTTCAAGGATATGCTCGATATCTTCGTGGCAGTCCTTTGGATTCCTAACACTGGTTGCATCATGGTGTGGGAGGAGAATAGTGCCAACACTGGCGTTTAACCGAGCGTTCTTGGAGATCCGAACAGGGGTCTCGCCAATGCAGGATAAGACGGCCAAGCGGGTAGCTGCATCCTGAGAAGGAGCAGCAACAACACGTGAACCAAGACGGGTAGGGTTGAAAGTAACAGACATCCAAGGAATCAACAAGGTGCCTATGGAGGGAAAAATCGTTAGGAGGAGTAGAATCTAAATGATGCAGGTCAAAGTACTTAGGCCACGTAGTAGGACCAAACAAGGCGTGGTACAAAGTAGTATGGGAAGGGATTGTGTGAATGCAGTAGCGGCAGGGACGGCGTAGAGAACCCCTAGAGAAAGAGGGTTAAAAGGCGCAGTAGTTACAATGAGACACGGAGCCGGGCTAGGGGATGAGGTGGTCACCGCTGGGGACCAAGTGCTAATCCAAACACAGAGGAGGGAGGGGAGCCAAGGGGAGTAGTCAGGAGGGTCAGAGGTGGAGGTGGTCTGGGCCCACTGTAACAGGGGCTACAGAGCCCAGTCTTCTAACGCGGTCCGACTCGGGGGTTCGGGGGGGGGGCCTGATCGCCCACCCCACAAGCCCGAGAAGTCATAAAAGGAACAGGAGTCATCAGCATGAAAACGAAAGGGAAGACTTTCATTTACGAAAGTGCACCCACACCCACCACGGAGCCACAATTAGAGGACAGGACACCCAACAAGAGATATGCTGACGGTCTTGCCGGGGCCTCCCTGGGGTGCATCTTGAGTATACACCCACAAACGCCACTTTAAGAACTGTCAGTCCGTCGAGATCGGGTTCAGTGACGAAAGAAGGATTGACAATAAAAGTGTACCCTCGCTCACGATGTTGGGTACCAGAGTTCTATGGGTGAGAGAGTATGCCTCCTCAAACACCCGGGCGTCAAAACAGAAAAAGTCCAAAAGAATAATCAGACTAGCAAAAGGTCGACGGGAAATGACAATTGAAAAGAAGAAGGGGGGGGGGAGAAAAATGAAACACAAGGAAAAGGAAAAGAGATCCAGCACAATTGGAGAGGACAGCAGCAGGAGCATTAGGCCCCAAAAGGACAGACCCATGAACTATCACACCCTGGCTGCCGCCCACCAAGCCCCCTCACGACAACAACGGGCCGGACAGGGAGGGGGAAAAGGTGCAGTAGTCACAATGAGAGACCGAGCCATGTCAGGAGACGAGGAGTTCACCACTGGGGGCTTGAGACTCGACCCTACCACAGAGGAGGGATGGAAGCGGGAGGAATTAGTCTGGTCTGGGCCCAATGTAGCGGGGGCTACAGGGCCCGGTCTTCCAACACAGTCCGACTTGGGGGGGGGGGGGGGGTTGCCCACCCCACGAGCCTGAGAAGTTATAAGAGGATCATTATTCAGCGACAGAAACGAGGCGGTAATACTTTCATTCACGAATGAGCCCCCACACCCACCATAAACCCACAATTAGAGAATAGGACACCCAACAAGAGACAGGCTGGGCCCCCAAAGGATGAGTTGTGAGTATACGCCCCACAATCCGTGGAACCGTTAGTCCATCGAGATCGGGTTTAGCGACGAAAGAAGGATTGACAATAAAAGCGTCCTCTCGCTCGTGACATTGGGTACCACAGTTCTACGGGTGAGAGAGTGTGCCTCCCCAAACACCTGGGCATCAAAACAGAAGATGTCCGAAATAATAATCAAGACTGGCAAAAGGTCGGATGGCAATGATAAGTAGAAAGGAAATGAGGGGGGGGGAGAAAATGAAACATAAGAAAAAGGAAAAGACTTCCAGCATAATTATTGAAGACAGCAGCAGGAGCATAAGGCCCCAAAAGGTCAGAGGACTGACCCATGGAGCATCACACTCCAGCAGCCGCCCACCAAGACCCCTCACGATAACGGGCTAGAAAGGGAAGGGGTACTAACATTTCAGTTAACCCAGCTCTATGTATGAAGCTAAATATATATTATTTAGTCCTTTCTAAATACGTTAAATGAAGTAAGTAATTATCAAAAAAAGGCACCAAACTGGGAAGGCTATGTAGACGTTAAATGAAAGTCATCGCCATATTGAGTGACATTCAAGAACAATTTATCACACGAAGGAAGATTTACAGATGCACGATGTTAAGGGCTTCAACCATCTACATCTACTTTTCACCATCTACCGGGTATATTATTATATACGGGGATCGTCAGGCATTAACTACTATTGGTTTGTTAAATCATACTCGCCTTGCGTTCCTTCCACGCCTTCATTTACTCCTTTTGACATTTCATCTTTGAGGGCCTTTTTGTTTTTCTCTTTCATGCATTTATTTTTATTTCCTGTTTTAATATAGTTAAATCATTCCATTCTTATTTTGTACTTATTCTGTCCTCTTCTCCTCGCATCTCTTATCGTTTATAAAATCCGAGAACTCCCCCTTTTCCTCATCTTTACTACACTTTGGCCTTCTTCCCCATCTTTACAACATCTCACCTTCTTAGTCCAAGCAGTTCTACGTTCATTCTGACTTTACTGAAGTTATTTCATCTACTTTACTCTTACCGAACTCGAGCTTGACGGTTCTGAAGGAGATGGAGTGAGGGAGCCCAGGGGTGGGTGCAGGTCCATCATGGCACACCTCCAGGAAGTACCTGCAGTCCTCCTTCATCGCCTCCTTCACCACCTCCAGGTACCTGCCAACACAAGGACGTCACTAGAGGTACACAGTGACCTCCCAACACCACCTCCAGGTACCTGCCAACACAAGGACGTCACTAGAGGTACACAGTGGCCTCCCAACACCACCTCCAGGTACCTGCCAACACAAGGACGTCACTAGAGGTACACAGTGACCTCCCAACACCACCTCCAGGTACGTGCCAACACAAGGACGTCACTAGACTAACCGCTGACTCTTATTTAAAGAAACTGTTCATTGAATGCTCTCAGGGGCAATAATTATGGAAAGGTCTATCTAAACTAAGTCGAATGGTATTTTTAGACGTAGTTGTATAATATATATATAAGCAGTCGGTACTAGACTTTGGTGTAGTACCGACTACATTGGCGTTTGCCTTTCCATTGGAACCTGCTGCATGGGTAACAGCTTCTTCCCCCGTATCAAGCTATCCTGGCTGTGTGCCCTGGAGAGGCCACTCCAGACCGACAACCAGAGCACAACTCCATAGTTTCCTGAGACTGATGGATGCCTACTACTAAACTATACCACATTAATTAACTAAAACATAGATGATAGTGGGAACTAATTAACAGTCACAGCAGCTTCCTGTTCAGATTTGACGTGTGTCAGATGACCTAAGCTGACGTCCAGTTTTTTGTTTTTCAACTTTTTGTTTGACAGCTTAAATATCAGCTTCAGGAGCTGATACAGCTTAAATACTAGCTTCAGGAGCTGATACAGCTTAAATAAAAGCTTCAGGAGCTGATACAGCTTAAATAAAAGCTTCAGGAGCTGATACAGCTTAAATAAAAGCTTCAGGAATTGAATTAACGTGTCTGGCTGCTTAAGGCTTACATTCCATTTTTTTTATTCTCCCCATTTTTTGTTTACCAGCTGTTTAAATTTAACGCGAAAATGTATTAATTGTGGCTTTGTGGTGGTCTTTCTTGTAGGGTCGACGTTCGATCCCCAATGTCTTACCTTCCTAGGACATCGGAAATTAGGCCATAGGAGGTTGTTCCCTAACTGCGCCCCCCCCCCTTATCCTCAGGTGACCTACCGGAGCCTGTCGCCCGGCCGGATGGCGGTGTAGGCCCCCAGGTGACCTACCTGAGCCTGTCGTCCGGCCGGATGGCGGTGTAGGCCCCCAGGTGACCTACCTGAGCCTGTCGCCCGGCCGGATGGCGGTGTAGGCCCCCAGGTGACCTACCTGAGCCTGTCGCCCGGCCGGATGGCGGTGTAGGCGCCCCAGTCGAAGACAGCGTCAAACTTGCCCAGGGCTCCTGGCGGCACCTTGGTCACATCGCACACATACACCTGCAGGCGGCCGTCACTGCTCTGTGGGAGGAGGGAAGAGTGGCAGAGTCCTGTCTGCTGACGACCACAGACAATCTGGGTGATTATCCTGTCTGCTGCTGAGCACAGTGTCTCTGGGTGATGGATTAGTGAGAGCGATGACGATGGATTGGTGAGTGTCTGGTGGTGATGGATTAGCGGGAGGATTTACCCTGGCTATATTAAACATTTACAAAAGTGAACGACAGCTTCCTTATATACAGAGCAATAGTCTCGTAAGGGTATTATTAACCCTGCCTAGGCCTATAACAGGTACCATATGGTCAAACGTACAAAAATGGACTGTCGTAGACAACATGCTTCATACCTGGTTGATGGGGTTCTGGGAGTTCTTCTACTGCCCAAGCCCGGCCCGAGGCCAGACTTGACTTGTGAGAGTTTGGTCCAGCAGGCTGTTGCTTGGAGCGGCCCACATACCCACCACAGCCCGGTTGGTCCGGCACTCCTTGAAGAAAACAATCTAGTTTCCTCTTGAAGATGTCCACGGTTGTTCCAGCATCAATGTCCATGTTCTGTATTATTTTGTAGAGGCACGACCAATGCCAAAACCCAAAGCTAAATATTCCAAGGCCTAGTGTAGCTCATATATGTACTATATTAGGCCTAAGATAGCGTACAATAAGCTGGAAATTACTTTACGCATTAAACACGTTTGGTTAAAAATAAAAAAAGTACCTTTTTATTTTTTTTAGTATGTCGTTTGCCATTTTGTCTGATATTCAGCGATACAAAAGGTGACTTTGTACATGTCCAACAGTACATGCTTTGTACGTTTGACAAAATAGTTGCTGCAAGAAATATCATTACTGTAGTAAGAGATCACGTCTTTCTCCAAAGTTATGAATTTTCTCCAAAAAATTCGGTTTTCGGAGGTAGAGATCCATTATGAGGATTTGGTCCGTTATTAAGAGGAACCCGGTACATAGAGGTCCGATCTTTTTGGAGACGTTCCACTAAGCTCTTCCGATCCAGAACCATCTCTACCACTCATGCTCAACCACTTGGGGTGGACGGTAGAGCGACGGTCTCGCTTCAAGCAGGTTCAATCCCCGACCGTCCACAAGTGGTTGGGCACCATTCCTTTTCCTCTCCGTCCCATCCCAAATCTTTATCCTGGTCCCTTCCCCGTGCTATATAGTGGTAATGGCTTGGTGCTTTCGCCCCCTGATAGTTCCCTTCCCTCCACCACCCATACCTTGTAGAGCTTCCCGAAGGCAAGGTCCTCGGTGGCGTGCTGGAGATCGGGGTACAGGTCGAAGAACTGCTTGACTGGCTTCTCCACTCCCTCCAAGCCCACCACGGTGTTGCCTCTGTCGTACAACCTGACGAAGGAGGAACTGGTTACTCAGAGTAAGTCGCAATAACGCAGCTAAAAATTTGACACCCTCGAACCCACACATCTGAAAATAAAATGGACGTTTTGGTCCGTCCTAGATCCTCATGTGACGACGTTCCGGTCCGTCCTGGACCCTTATGTGACGACGTTCCGGTCCATCCTGGACCCTCATGTGACGACGTTCCGGTCCATCCTGGACCCTCATGTGACGACGTTCCGGTCCGTCCTGGACCCTTATGTGACGACGTTCCGGTCCATCCTGGACCCTTATGTGACGACGTTCCGGTCCATCCTGGACCCTTATGTGACGACGTTCCGGTCCGTCCTGGACCCTTATGTGACGACGTTCCGGTCCATCCTGGACCCTTATGTGACGACGTTCCGGTCCGTCCTGGACCCTTATGTGACGACGTTCCGGTCCATCCTGGACCCTTATGTGACGACGTTCCGGTCCATCCTGGACCCTCATGTGACGACGTTCCGGTCCATCCTGGACCGGAACGTCGGAACATCCGAAACATCCGTCCGAAACGGAACGGACCGGAACATCCTGGACCGGAACCCCTTATGTGACGACGTTCCGGTCCGTCCTGGACCCTTATGTGACGACGTTCCGGTCCGTCCTGGACCCTTATGTGACGACGTTTCGGTCCGTCCTGGACCCTTATGTGACGACGTTCCGGTCCGTCCTGGACCCTTATGTGGGGACGTTCCGATCCGTCCTGGACCCTTATGTGACGACGTTCCAGTCCGTCCTGGACCCTTATGTGACGACGTTCCGGTCCGTCCTGGACCCTTATGTGACGACGTTCCGGTCCGTCCTGGACCCTTATGTGACGACGTTCCGGTCCGTCCTGGACCCTTATGTGACGACGTTCCGGTCCGTCCTGGACCCTTATGTGGCGACGTTCCGGTCCGTCCTGGACCCTTATGTGACGACGTTCCGGTCCGTCCTGGACCCTTATGTGACGACGTTCCGGTCCGTCCTGGACCCTTATGTGACGACGTTCAGGTCCGTCCTGGACCCTTATGTGGCGACGTTCCGGTCCGTCCTGGACCCTTATGTGGCGACGTTCCGGTCCGTCCTGGACCCTTATGTGACGACGTTCCGGTCCGTCCTAGACCCTTATGTGACGACGTTCCGGTCCGTCCTGGACCCTTATGTGACGACGTTCCGGTCCGTCTTGGACCCTTATGTGACGACGTTCCGGTCCGTCCTGGACCCTTATGTGGGGACGTTCCGGTCCGTCCTGGACCCTTATGTGGGGACGTTCCGGTCCGTCCTGGACCTGGACACGACTTGATAATGAAGCCAAATGTCATCACTTCATTTCCCGATGTGTGGGTTGAGTGTGTTGACTAATTTACCCCGGATGAGCAGCGACGCCTCCTCCTATCTGACATTTTCCTCATGTTAACAAATGAGCAGGAAAATCATACACATTTCAGCAAGATAATTAAGGAATCTGTAAGAAATACTACGCCTCAAGATGAAGGTTACATAGCTCATGTGCTCAATAAATGATACATATAGCAGCCATGACACCTTACAACGTGATCTGGGACAATCATACTTATTGCTGGGACAATCATACTTATTGCTGGGACAATCATACTTATTGCTGGGACAATCATACTTATTGCTCTAATTTGTGTTTTTAAATCTGCCATATCATACAGTATCTATAGTTATCATTACGATCTACGGTCTGTAGATCCGAGTAGCTCTTGCCCACATTGCAGATAAATACTCAGAATAACTACGACTGGTAAATCACATCTAATAAAGTTGTTAAATCACATAAACTACGTCTTCACAATAACAGGCTTAACAACCACGGTATAATCATGCTACGATCACGGAGGACTAGCCTAGACCCCGCGTTCTGACCTGGAGGTCTCTGCTTACCAAAATACAATTAAACAAGTTACATAAAACAAATGACAAATTATTTTGTGTGTGTATCTATGTCCCTCTAGGACGCCTATGCCAATGAATGACTCTTCTAGGTGAGCAAAGGCATCAGGTGTAAGGAAACGTACCCCTAATTCTCGCATTGCACGGGAATTGAACCCGGGACCATTCTGTTGAGAGCTGTCTGCATTGACCAATCCCATTAAATAATAAACCAATAGGAAATACATAAATCTCGCATAACGCCAACATAGTGTTTGAAAAACAGGAAAACCTGTTTATGGAAAGAGAAGGGATACGAGACAGACTAACTCACCAGCGGAGGTCGGGCGACCTGCCACACAGGGGTACCAGCACTCTTCCAGGCTCCGAGGGTAGGAGCTCCTTCACGTGCTCCACCAGCTCAGCTGACGGATGTCCCTTCGACCCGCTCCAGGGCTGGCAGGGAGTAGTTGTAAGAGTTAAGTCAGGTAGATATGGTAAGAGTTGATGGGGAATTGTGAAGTGCACGGGAGAGTTAGGACTCCCAACCCACACAGCTGAGGATAAAGCCAGAGGCGAGTTGACCAGACCACACACTAGAAGTTGAAGGGACGAGACGTTTCGGTCCGTCCTGGACCATTCTCAAGTCGATTGTGAAGAGGAGGTAGAGACAGGCAATAAATAGGCAAGAGAGCTGAGGAGGAAAGTAAGGTGTTGGGGATAGTAGTAATAATGAGAACTGCAGAAAGCCTATTGGCCCATACGAGGCAGCTCCTATTAAAACCACCGAAGGAGATAGTAATAGGAATAAGAAGAGGATAGCAAGGGAGCGTAGGAGAAGACAATGAACAGAAAAAGGGGAGAAGAGAGAAAGAAAAGGAAAGAGAAAGAAAGATAAATGGAAGGGGTAAGCTTATGTTAAGTCACGTTTGTTAGAAAGATTAGAGCATTTGAGTATATACTGTGAAAGGGAAGAGTCCACAGCAACAAAGCCAGGACTCAAGTTCATGTTGGGTACATTGTGTATAAGAACCGATTCTACAAGACGGCGTCTGTGTAGAGTAGAGGCAGGAAAGATTAACGCCAGAGGCGAGATTTTAAATCATGTGATAAAAGTTCAGGACAGCTAAACGTTGCCACATAAGGGTCTAGGACAGCTAAACGTTGCCATATACGGGCCCAGGACAGCTAAACGTTGCCACATAAGGGTCCAGGACAGCTAAACGTTGCCACATAAGGGTTCAGGACAGCTAAACGTTGCCACATAAGGGTCCAGGACAGCTAAACGTTGCCACATAAGAGTCCAGGACAGCTAAACGTTGCCACATAAGGGCCCAGGACAGCTAAACGTTGCCACATAAGGGTTCAGGACAGCTAAACGTTGCCACATAAGGGCCCAGGACAGCTAAACGTTGCCACACAAGGGTTCAGGACAGCTAAACGTTGCCACATAAGGGTCCAGGACAGCTAAACGTTGCCACATAAGGGTCCAGGATAGCTAAACGTTGCCACATAAGGGTCCAGGACAGCTAAACGTTGCCACATAAGGGTCCAGGAGAGCTGAACGTTGCCACATAAGGGTCCAGGACAGCTAAACGTTGCCACATAAGGGTTCAGGATAGCTAAACGTTGCCACATAAGGGTCCAGGACAGCTAAACGTTGCCACATAAGGGTCTAGGACAGCTAAACGTTGTCACATAAGGGTCCAGGACAGCTAAACGTTGCCACATAAGGGTCCAGGATAGCTAAACGTTGCCACATTAGGGTCTAGGACAGCTAAACGTTGCCACATTAGGGTCTAGGACAGCTAAACGTTGCCACATAAGGGTCTAGGACAGCTAAACGTTGCCACATAAGGGTCCAGGATAGCTAAACGTTGCCACATAAGGGTCTAGGACAGCTAAACGTTGCCACATAAGGGTCCAGGACAGCTAAACGTTGCCACATAAGGGTCCAGGATAGCTAAACGTTGCCACATAAGGGTCCAGGACAGCTAAACGTTGCCACATAAGGGTCTAGGACAGCTAAACGTTGCCACATAAGGGTCCAGGATAGCTAAACGTTGCCACATAAGGGTCTAGGACAGCTAAACGTTGCCACATAAGGGTTCAGGACAGCTAAACGTTGCCACATAAGGGTCCAGGACAGCTAAACGTTGCCACATAAGGGCCCAGGACAGCTAAACGTTGCCACATAAGGGTCCAGGATAGCTAAACGTTGCCACATTAGGGTCTAGGACAGCTAAACGTTGCCACATTAGGGTCTAGGACAGCTAAACGTTGCCACATAAGGGTCCAGGACAGCTAAACGTTGCCACATAAGGGTCCAGGACAGCTAAACGTTGCCACATAAGGGTCCAGGACAGCTAAACGTTGCCACATAAGGGCCCAGGACAGCTAAACGTTGCCACATAAGGGTCCAGGACAGCTAAACGTTGCCACATAAGGGTCCAGAACAGCTAAACGTTGTCACATAACGTTTAGCTGTCCTGGACAGTTACGTGACAACTTTTAGCTGTCCTGGACACTTAGGTGACAAAGGTCCAGGACAGAAACTGGACATCAATGATCTCTAAACTAAGCTCTTCACATGTATAGTGACCTACATTCAGTATTCATTTGCCCATCAAGCATCCTAGCTGCACCCATCCAGTGACAAGGTCACGCACCTGTACACCTGTGACACTGTTACACCTGACAGTGTGTTTACCTGTAACACTGTTACATAGTGTTACAAGGTAACGACCTATAACACTATGTAACAATGTCCCCCCCCCCTTGTTCTAATTCTTTATGCCTCCAAGGTATAGAAAGTGGCTGTTATTTCCCCTCTCAAACTCTGCTTTGACCTTTGACCCCAAGATAGCTGAGGGAAGAACTGTTGAAGGCTGGCAACTCCTTATCCAGATAAGAGCAGCCTCGTTATCTAGATAACGAACATGACACGGCCAGGACAGGGTGAGAAAGCTACCAACATTCTCCAGAAGCTAAATTAATACTTATTGACGGCTTCAGTATCAGCATTGTAACACACTAGAAGGTGAAGGGACGACGACGTTTCGGTCCGTCCTGGACCATTCTCAAGTCGATTGTGTCGACTTGAGAATGGTCCAGGACGGACCGAAACGTCATCGTCCCTTCACCTTCTAGTGTGTGGTCTGGTCCTCATACTTTAGCCACGTTATTGTGACTCATCGCCTGCACTGTAACACACGTTATATAGAGGAGTGTTACATAGCGCAACACTCCTTACAGAGTACAATTTAAAATCATTGTTTTGCATTGAATTTATTTGGATAATATTAATATAATTTGTTTCTGAATAAACACTGAAGCTCACTGATATTTGTAAATACTGGCATGAGGTCCCCTGATAATCTTTTATTGTCATACAGTAAGTCAAAATAACGCGGCGGAATATTTGACACTCGACCCACGTATCACAAAATAATGGAACTGACAAGGTTTCGGTCCGTTTTGGACCATTATCAAGTGGTGTGATAATGGTCCGAAACGTCAGTTCCTCTATTTTCTGACTGTGGGTTGAGTGTCTTCTAATTTAAGGATTGAATAAATTGTTCTTATAAGGGTTTCATATGACGTAATTTCATGTCTTTCAGTCAACTTCACTTCACTTCTCACTACCTTCCGATTTATATATTTAAGCAATAAATTACAATGTAATAAAAGTGAGATCGCCGGAGTGTTTCAAGCGTTGGTTAGACATAAGAGTAAATCTGGGTGGGTAATAAATAGGAGCTGCCTCACATATGGCAAAAGGTGTTCTGTATTTTCCGATATTCCATCACTCATTTGCACCTTTCCTGCCATAAATATAGTGACAAAAGCCTTAACTCACCCACTTCTCATAGAGATGAGCCCAGTTGACCAAACTCCACTCCAGCTGTTGCAGTAGAGGGTCCTTCTTCATTTCAGAGACGGCGTGGTTGTTGAGGCCTTTAGCGTGGCTGTTGAGGCCTTTAGCGTGGTTACACTGCACGTCCTCCTCCTCCCCCCCTGGGTGAGGACCGTGGTGGTGGTGGTGGTGGTGGGCGTCGTTCATGGTTCTCTATTGTAAAGATGTTCTGGAATTCAATATAACTTAAATTCAACCATTAGAAGTTGCTGACAACAATGAAGAGGATTGGTCGCATCAAGTTTCATAAATAAGTGGATAACGAGTAAGTAATTATCAAAAAAGGCCCCAAGCCAGGAAGGCTATGTAGCACCATCAAATGTGCGGGATATTCAAAAGGTGCTAAATATCACTAACGATGTCAACACGAGAACAAAGCACACAAGGCGAACGATATCAAATGCATCTGATTCACCAAGGATACGATCGAAGGACAAGTGACCGCGAGGGACGGTCAGGAAGCAAGACACACGAAGGAAGCAAGTGTCCGTGAGTTAAGCGTGTATCGCCAATACATAACCTTGCCAGAGCTGTTTCCCACCGCCGGTTACGGTGGTAGGAGGAAGGCCATGGGGACACACAACCCTTAAGAGCACGCAGCTTGTTACCAGTAACAGAAGACCAACGACCCTGCCAACGGGCAAGGATTGAGGAATGATTAACTGGGTAGAAGTCGGAAAAAGGAATACCTTTACGGGAGATGGGACAAGTGCGGGTAGTCTCTTTAGGGGGAGTGTCCGCATGCTCATTTAAGGACACGCCAAAATGGCTGCAAACCCAGCAAAACTCCACTGTCTTAAACCTGCTGAAGATAAGAAACAGCCATTGTTGAATTTCGACTACCACCGGATGGACTGGATTAAAGGACTAAGAGCCATGAGAGCACTGCAAGAGTCAACAACAACAAAGGAGGATTGACAGCGAGAAAGCAGTTGAAGAGCATACAAAATAGCATAAAGTTCTGCCGTGAAGACGCTAGTCTCCGGAGGCAGGCGACACACACAGGTGTGGTCAGGAAAAACAACAGAGTAGCCAACACCGTCTGCAGACTTAGACCCATCGGTGAAGACGGATATGGAGCGGGAGTGTGAAGACAAGTGTTCATGAAAAGCGTTTCAGAACTGTAGGAGTGGTAAAAGCTTTAGTCATGTGGGTCAGTGCTGTACAAAACTTAGGAAAGGGGGGGGGGGACCCTCCACGGGGGCAAGGATAGAATGACACGAGGAGAAATATTGCTGACACGAACCGAAGAGAACCTTGCAAGCAAGACAACCGTACAGAAAAAAGTACGAGGTGAAAGGGAACAGGGACGACAGGAGGGGTAAAGGTCAAAGAACAGCATAAGCGAGAGTGAGGGTGTTGTAGGGGCCATACAAGGTAGTGATCACGGCGATCCTGTAGAGACAGGACGCCGGTTTTAACATACAGGCTGAAGGTAGGAGTCGAACGTAAGGCACCAGAGCTGAGGCGCAACCCAGTATGGTGCAGAGCATCAAGACGGCAAAAGGTAGAGGGAGAAGCAGACGAGTAAGCAAGACAACCATAATCAAATTTAGACAGCATGAGAGGAATGTAAAGAGCGGTGTGTACCTATCAGCTCCAAGAAGTATAGGAAAAGACCTGAATTAAGTTAAAGGCCGTAGAGCATTCAACACGGAGGTAAGAGATATGGGGCGACTAAGACAAAGGAGTGTCAAAGAATAACCCCAAAAGCTTATCTCTGTACACAAGAGGATGACCATAAAGTGACAGGGGGGGGGGACGAAGAACGACCTGCTTCTGAGTAAAAAGTTATAGCTCAAGCTTTAGTTGTAGAGAACCTGAAGCCATGATTGATGGCCGAGGACGACACGGCATCAACGGCAAGTTGAAGCCACCGTTGGAGGGAAGGCGAATCATCACCACGACAACAAAGGGTAAAATCGTCATCATACAGAGCTGAGATGATGTCAGAGGGAAGAGAGAAGACTATTGATGGCAACCAGGAAAAAGAGTACAGCCCAGAACACAACCTTGGGGTACACCATCGTATTGCAAAAATAGAGGCAGAGAGAGCAGTACCAAGCCTCACTATAAAGGAACGACTAGAGAGGAAGCTTTGTAGCAAGAGAAAGAGACTACCACGAAGACCACCAGAACAGTTGGGACAGAATGTGGTATCGCCAGGTAGTGTCATAAGCCTTTTCCAGGTAAAAAAAGGACAGCAACAACGGAGGTCTTAGCAGCAAATGCAGTATGAATATAGACCTCCAACTTCAAGAAGACATTAGTTGTGTTGCGACACTTGCAAAAGTCAAATTGAGAAGGGAAGAAGTGGTGATAGTGTTCCAAGAACCACAGCATATGGTCATTGACCATACATTCAAAGAGATTGCAGACAACTCGTGAAGGCAATGAAAAACGAACTTTCAACAATGGGTATTCATACCCATTGTTGAAAGTTCGTTTTTATGGGTATTCAATGGGTATTCATACCCATTGTTGAAAGTTCATTTTTCACCTCATCCACCTCACCCAAATGTAGATATAAACCTCGAAGATGTGTAAGCTCTATTCAGTTTCAGTTGTGTGTGTGTAAACTAAAGTCTTTGAAAATGTAATAAGTTTTACAAAACGCGCTCAAGTGTCGCGTCAGACTAGAAATAAAAATGAATTTTGGAGAATTGATCTTTGAATTACCACCAACAGTGAAAAGAAACGTAAGAAAGATAGAGAAAATTCGTGTAAGAATTATTAATCTTACTTTTTCGGCCATATTTAATAATATATGTCTACAGAAAAGACTGCTACCAAAATATACTAATATATATATATATATATATATATATATATATATATATATATATATATATATATATATATATAGTACACGTTAGACTCTTATATCTAGTCACCCCCCCCCCTACAAGGGACTCAGGATGCAACCCCACAAACTCCCAGGTACCTATTTACTGGTAGGTGAACAGAGGCATTAGGAAACGCACCCAACTACCGGGAACGTTGTCTATCTAAACTAACCAATTTCCTGACAACTTGTAATGTGGTAATCATGTCTCGCCTAATTCTTCTGTCTTCTAGCGACTTGAGGTTCAATTCAAGGAGCCCTTCCAAGTAACTCAAACCCCTTCGGTCTGGTACTAGTCAAGTGTCATACAGTTTGAACCTTCATCAACTTGGTCTTATGTGTGACAACAGACCGGTGTGGACCAGGCTGGGGCCGTGAACCTGCATCGATTCTCAACAGGATTTAAACTCCCTTCAGAAATGCATACTCTGTTGTGTACGTTTTCTTTGACATTACCCAGTATTTGACATTACTGTACTGCAATAATGCATCATAATGGGAGGGGCACATAAAAAACGGGAAATTCAGACAAATAGGAATCATGCAATAGGCTACAACAATTAGCAACACAATAGGTTACCTCACTATTGGTTTGTTGCACTAATGTACTTAAGTAGCCTACCTGAGCCAGAGGGCATCAATATTGCAGGAAACAGGAGGAAACGTCGAGTGAGAGAGAGAGAGAGGAGCGTGACTCCTCCTCCTCCGGGTGCTGTTGGTACACTGACACAGAAAACGGGGACTTAGCACATTGTTTACATCGTGACTCGGCAAACCTTTATGGTGTAACCTTGAAGCTGCGACTAGATACCGCCAGAGAGCCTCACTACCTCACGATGACTACGCCAGCCCGTCCTCCAAACAAAGAACATAAACTAAAGTCCATTCCATGCACCCGCCAACATAGGACATATAATCTTGATGAATGAAAAACGGTTTACGCACGACTCACAACTGATGACGTCCGAACACTTCCGGAACAAGTTTTTTTTTTTTTTTTTTTTTTTTTTTTTGAGATATATACAAGAGTTGTTACATTCTTGTAGAGCCACTAGTACGCGTAGCGTTTCGGGCAAGTCCTTAATCCTATGGTCCCTGGAATACGATCCCCTGCCGCGAAGAATCGTTTTTTCATCCAAGTACACATTTTACTGTTGCGTTAAACAGAGGCTACAGTTAAGGAATTACGCCCAGTAAATCCTCCCCTGCCAGGATACGAACCCATGACATAGCGCTCGCGGAACGCCAGGCGAGTGTCTTACCACTACACCACGGAGACTGCCGTGGTGCTTCACTGACGACTTTTTTTCGAACCACAACGCTGTAAATGCTTCACCCACGTACTACAAATACAAATAATCGCCAACAGAACCTAAACACATAACCTAACTTATGCCTAAATATGCACACTATGCTATTATAATATTAATTTATATTTGAGAAAATTTCCGTTTTCAATGAACAGATTATTATTATTATCAACATCTTTATTGACAAAATTAATTACAATTTTGCCTAATCTGAGGATTTTGATAGTCTTATTAAAGTGAGGATAATGCTGGTATTCACTGTCACGCAGGACAGAGGGTCATACACAAGACAATAGGTCTAAACTGTAGGCTGAAGCACATATATATCATGGTTACAATCAATGTTTTAATGTATGGATATGTGAAAACAACTTTCTACTGTGCACTGCCACACAAGGGCAGGGATGGGTTCATAAGTGATGCAGCTTAGAAGTAATATATATAAAAATTGTTCTTGATTCTTTAAAATGGACAAGCAAATTTTGGGTAAATTGTTAGGATGTCGTCCAGAACACCTGAGTCAATAAAATAGTTACACAGTTGGTGGTACAAGAGGCCAGGAGGTCTAAAGTCCTTTACGGTTTCACCTTCAACAATATAGTGTTCTAGTGAATGCATTAAAGGTTTATCACAGAGTTTACAATCTGAGTATTCTGGTAGTGGCTCAGCCTCACTAACCTGCCAGATGTGTCTATAGCCAAGGCGAGTTCGCGCAATGACTACATCACATTGCCTGGTCCGGTTACTGTGCTGACCATACAAATACCTATTATTACAAAACTTGTCATAACTTTTAATACTGCAGCTTTCAGGTCTCTGGGCATTTCTTAGTTCTTCTAAATATGAATTAATTTCTTTAATTTGTATGTTTCTAATAACTGCATTAGATAGTCTGTCATGTTCACAGAAAACGGTACCATCCGTTTTCTATGTGCGGCGGCTCAGACGCCAGGAGGAGATAAACAACAGAGAGCGTACAGGACGCCCGCCAGGCTTGGTAGCTGCTAGTCTTGTATCAGTTCAAGTATTAAAGTCAATAACCAAGCAATGGCTTTATATCAACCCTACAACCAAGACTTCCTCAGTAACACACAACACCACATAGTCCAAAGTCATAATCAGTGTTTTCTTTCCTGCAAGCCTCATTGGCCAATTGATCTACAAAGTCATGTTTTCCAACTCCAACATGGGATGGGATCCACACAAATTTTATACAAGAGTTATTATCATTGGCAAAAATTACATTCCATTTAATATTACAAGCTACTTCCGACATACAATGTGATGGGTTATTTAAGGACTGCAGAGCACTTTTAGAGTCACAGAAAATAACTCCACCACCATTGAGCTTAAGGTATTCAGTGGCTAGATAAATACCCAATAGCTCGGTCTGTGTCGTGCTTGCCCAGTTGTTCAATCTCTGTGTACTAGTCATGATCATTTCATTCCCTTTATACACTGCACATGCACAACCTGTTCTACCAGTGCCTAACTGCACAGAGCCATCAGTAAAGGCATAGGATTCAGTCGGTTTGCATGATAAAATTTATGAATGCCTCTGTGGGGTCGACCTCTGGATGGAATAGACTTAGAGTCGAGGACGGGTTGGTTTACTGGGAAGTGAGGTCTAGCTCCTTAGGCCCTGATTACTATATAGCCTTTTCGTACCTGTTCCGTTACAATTTAAATATTCTCATGTTCGAATTCTTTGTCGAATCTGACCTTAGGGTGAAGTTAAAGGTGGCTTCCACATCTATTTTTTGTGCACTTCACGTGTTAGGCGCTTGTTCAGAGGGTACGAATATTTCCTATAATTTCTTACACATTTGTAGACAGTCTTCAGAAACCTGATTTAGGTTTTAAACGATGTTCTTACGTGTCTTAATACTTGCTGGTTGGTCAGTAAGGTGTTGTGGTGGCCTTAATAACCCTCCAGAGGTTGATAGGTCTTAAGTCCAACACCAAACTTGCTGGTTGGTCAGTAAGGTATTGTGGTGGTCTTAATAACCCTCCAGAGGTTGATAGGTCTTAAGTCCAACACCAAACTTGCTGGTTGGTCAGTAAGGTATTGTGGTGGTCTTAATAACCCTCCAGAGGTTGATAGGTCTTAAGTCCAACACCAAACTTGCTGGTTGGTCAGTAAGGTATTGTGGTGGTCTTAATAACCCTCCAGAGGTTGATAGGTCTTAAGTCCAACACCAAACTTGCTGGTTGGTCAGTAAGGTATTGTGGTGGTCTTAATAACCCTCCAGAGGTTGATAGGTCTTAAGTCCAACACCAAACTTGCTGGTTGGTCAGTAAGGTATTGTGGTGGTCTTAATAACCCTCCAGAGGTTGATAGGTCTTAAGTCCAACACCAAACTTGCTGGTTGGCCAGTAAGGTGTTGTATTGTGGTGGTCTTAATAACCCTCCAGAGGTTGATAGGCCTTAAGTCCAACACCAAACTTGCTGGTTGGTCAGTAAGGTATTGTGGTGGTCTTAATAACCCTCCAGAGGTTGATAGGTCTTAAGTCCAACACCAAACTTGCTGGTTGGTCAGTAAGGTATTGTGGTGGTCTTAATAACCCTCCAGAGGTTGATAAGTCTTAAGTCCAACACCAAACTTGCTGGTTGGTCAGTAAGGTATTGTGGTGGTCTTAATAACCCTCCAGAGGTTGATAGGTCTTAAGTCCAACACCAAACTTGCTGGTTGGTCAGTAAGGTATTGTGGTGGTCTTAATAACCCTCCAGAGGTTGATAGGTCTTAAGTCCAACACCAAACTTGCTGGTTGGTCAGTAAGGTATTGTGGTGGTCTTAATAACCCTCCAGAGGTTGATAGGTCTTAAGTCCAACACCAAACTTGCTGGTTGGTCAGTAAGGTGTTGTATTGTGGTGGTCTTAATAACCCTCCAGAGGTTGATAGGCCTTAAGTCCAACACCAAACTTGCTGGTTGGTCAGTAAGGTATTGTGGTGGTCTTAATAACCCTCCAGAGGTTGATAGGTCTTAAGTCCAACACCAAACTTGCTGGTTGGTCAGTAAGGTATTGTGGTGGTCTTAATAACCCTCCAGAGGTTGATAGGTCTTAAGTCCAACACCAAACTTGCTGGTTGGTCAGTAAGGTATTGTGGTGGTCTTAATAACCCTCCAGAGGTTGATAGGTCTTAAGTCCAACACCAAACTTGCTGGTTGGTCAGTAAGGTATTGTGGTGGTCTTAATAACCCTCCAGAGGTTGATAGGCCTTAAGTCCAATACCAAACTTGCTGGTTGGTCAGTAAGGTATTGTGGTGGTCTTAATAACCCTCCAGAGGTTGATAGGTCTTAAGTCCAACACCAAACTTGCTGGTTGGTCAGTAAGGTATTGTGGTGGTCTTAATAACCCTCCAGAGGTTGATAGGCCTTAAGTCCAACACCAAACTTGCTGGTTGGTCAGTAAGGTATTGTGGTGGTCTTAATAACCCTCCAGAGGTTGATAGGCCTTAAGCCCAACACCAAACTTGCTGGTTGGTCAGTAAGGTGTTGTGGTGGTCTTAATAACCCTCCAGAGGTTGACAGGTCTTAAATCCAACACCAAACTTGCTGGTTGGTCAGTAAGGTGTTGTGGTGGTCTTAATAACCCTCCAGAGGTTGACAGGTCTTAAGTCCAACACCAAACTTGCTGGTTGGTCAGTAAGGTATTGTGGTGGTGTACCTCAATATCCCCGAAACATCCCGATATATGGTCAGGACTAACAACACAACAAACCAGACACGACAGGGCTCATCTCACCAAGATGTATCAAATAATAATCCAGACAATTTGTTGTTTTTTTAAGTTTAATGAAACTTCCGATTGATTCTTCTACGTCGCAGATTCTCCTGCCGTCTCCCCTTAAAATACATTTTCTTTGATGATAAAATTCCAGTTTTCTATCACAAACTCTCTTAAGCATCCTTGAGCCTGACAATGATGAGTGATCAATTACAACAAAACCATTTTACCTTGCAATTATACACAATTACATCAACTCACGCTTAAGATAATCACTATATTACTTATTTCTCAACTAAATCCTGCACATACTCAGTGCTGGCAAGAGAGTGGAACAAAATAATATACATTTTCAACAACAAATCATTCAGGCATCGCCATTGTTGATTACGTAAATAAACCAGACTGTTGATTGTTCTCCGGATGTATTATACAACAACCATAAGAGGCTGTTGTATAATACAACTCTTGGAAATATGGCCTATGTGTATTATCTTGTATCTCTATGTTGTATTATTGTGTCTGTGGGTGAGGGGGGATGGTGTGAGGGTGGTGGGGGAGAGGGTGTGAGGGTGGTGGGGGAGAGGTGGTGGTGGAGAGGGTGTGAGGGTGGTGGTGGGGGAGAGGGTGTGAGGGTGGTGGTGGAGAGGGTGTGAGGGTGGTGGGGGAGAGGGTGTGAGGGTGGTGGTGGGGGAGAGGGTGTGAGGGTGGTGGTGGGGGAGAGGGTGTGAGGGTG